AAAGATCTCGGAATAGATGACAACAATCATCTAAGTTGCTATACATGCATGTTTTCCTCAGAACCGAGCTCAAAACTAAACTTGCGTTAATTGCCGCTGGAAATGGGCTTGGGGCTGTGGCTAACCGAAAGGCAAAGCGATTAAATTCCAACGGCCTAAAACCATCACTAACAAGGGCAAGTATTTATACCTATCCCGGGGGGGCTGGCTCCACCTCTATTGGTCCTCGTAAGCGACTTGGCATCAAGTGCGAGGAACCTTGCGTACCTGATAGCTTTCATCATCTGCTTGTCGATCCTCTGGCATGGGAATTAGACGCTTTCTGCTGGTAGTGACGCGATTTAATTTCTATAGTCCGGACGCAGAAGAGCGTATACCCCCATCTTTCTTTTTTTTTAAAACAACACCACAGGTTGGAGTAACCAGGCGGATGTCGGATGGGGAAATGACCCCTTTCCCCTCAGCATCTCATCACATTCGTCCCGAATCGTGGCACGACGCGCCACTCCTCCGGCATCTCCCACTGCTCCACTGGCGAGGCGTTCGTGTCAGAGTCCTGCTGTGGGAATAGAGAGGCGATTTTTTAATACATGGAACCTTCCCTACTGGTGCTGGATTCAATCAAATAAGGAAGCATGGCGCTGTAATAATAGCCATCAACTGATTTCTTCGAACCGAACCAAGATGATCAATCTTAGCAATCCTGTATGACTGACTTCACCCTAAGAGTTTTGAAATGGTCAAGACGTCCGTACTCACAGGAGGAAAAGAAATACGTCAAAGTCGCCACATCATAAACCAAAAATCGCCAGTACCTGCTGGCATCAAAGAAATCGATAAAATACGTAAAAACATGGATCATGTAAAAATCTCAACTTTGTATTATTAAACCATCACCACATCAGCAACCAATTCTTAAAACGATTAGAAACACCACGTAAAAACCCAAACCTGAAAAATGAGAGTCGTATCATGACACTCATTACTAAAATTATTTCCCAACACCCGATCATGAAAAATCAACCCCATTTGTGGACTCAAAGACGTTGGTCGATACTTTTCTAGCTCAAGCTATTGCGTGCCTCCTTGTTTGTAAAATACTTAACAACTGGGTAATTGGCGGTCGTTCACGACCCAAAATGGGATAACCTGTCTTCCGAAACATGTGTAAGGCTGGCGGGGGAATTACAACCTGGGCTGTTTTTAAACAACACTTACAAAAAACCCGTGGACTATAAAAGCTCCGTGCCTAGCTCTCATACTGAAACAACCAACCCCCGGCACGATCTTCCATCGCTCTGGTGGGCAAACAAAATACAGTTTTCTAAAACAAAAACACTGCGTGGTACCTCCCAATTATCATTGAACTGTTTAGGCATACGACCTCGTGTAATATTTAATGTTCAAGGATTCAGTTTGTCACTATAGTCATTTTCGGTCGGACGAGACTACCCCGTTAAATGAGATTAGCTCTTTCTTTGTGGAGAGTGAAAAGATACCATCCGAATTGAACCTCTTAATAACTTCCATACATATTAAGATATCGCCTGAAATCTACATCTCGTCCGAGACGATGTTTTACCTCATGTTTACATTTTCACTTCCTCGCTTCCGGAAAAAGGACAGACTTACGGAATCTACCGTCGCTGCGAAAACGAGTGGCCTGAAAGCACCCTTCGTAATGTACAGACGAAGGTCTAACTGATTTAAATATTCTTTTGGTTTCATTTCTGCTTCATCATCCGTTTATCTCTGACCCAGTGTCTACGAAGCAAGTGCACATTACCCATTACCGCCGTTGCCCTTCAGAGATACAAGGTTCTTTTCCCCACTTTTATCTGATCATTAATTGGTATCACCTTCGAGATCTTTGACCTGATTCGAACCTCTTAAATTCCCCCTGGATTCCCGCCGCAACGGGAAGCTGGGATGGGCGGCGCCCCCCGCGGGCGAGAGGAAAAGTGACAATTACTAGAAATGGTGACTTCCTCATTACAGGTATAACACACCTAGTGAAAACCGGGATATACTGTGCCATTCTGCCCCTCCCCCTGCAATCTTTACTTTATCACTGTGGTTTAACGTGAATTATGAAGGAATACAGTCATAGAATTGGAGATTTCCGCACGCGTGATGTTTCATTTGCTTTCCCTTTTCCTTTCCCTGCCTCTCTCGGTACAATTTTAGGCATTGTTCATGCGAAATGCTCCACAGCATCTCTGCGCAGCATCCACAACCAAAATTTTTAAGCGCATGAGCTTCCTCTTTTTAAAACCCTTTATTAATAAAAATAAAACGCGAGAAGCTTTACCCTCAAGCCACGTGTGGCAAACCTTGAAGAAACAAACCCTACGAATTAATTCGTCTGGCATCACCTCCCCAACTGACCTCGGGTAATATCTCGGACCCCTTGATAGACAACGGATCGACGGACTTCTAATTGCTCTACGAAGAAAGCAACTGCTGGCGCTTGGTGGCCTGGGCTAAATTTATAATTCTCTTTAGGGATGATTAAAAAAAGGTCTGCTGTTGAACGGAGCACGTTCCCCTGAATTTGGATGTTTTCCTATCTTTTCCTTTGAATTCCTACCCAACGTACTATCCCATCAAAAATCGGCGAGTTTCACTATAAGATCAGAGCTGTGCTGTACCACGGGGGCAAAACTCTTCTTCTTCTCCTGTTCGTCTTAAATCCTGCGGCTCTAATGTACTCGTCGTCTGTACGTGGCTGCGGCGTCCCAGGTTCTATATGTGCGGAGGCCAGGTTCTAACCTCCTGATTACGTTTCAAGGTTGCGAGGAAGGCAAGGAGTTTCAATCATCACAGGCCCTTGAAAGTGGAACCAAGGCTATTTTGTCAGTAATCACATACTCCAGCCCACAATCTCACACGGAAGATGACCCTAAATAAACTTGAACAGCTTACTCCTTTTGGATTACCTGTTACTCTATTACAACTGTTGCCGTTTTACTGTTACTGTTCCTATTACTGTTACCGTTTACGTACTGTTTACTGTGTACTATTACCATTACCAGCACTGTTACGAGCGCTAATCGCTTTCTGCTAATAAATAAGCTATTGCTCTTCTCCTTGCATGGTTGTGAGTGATCACTTAATTGTTGGGTTGGCATCTCTTGCTCAAATTCCTCCCTCTACATGGAGAGGCTATGTTGTTCCTCGCAACTGCATAGACATGGTCACGTGACGTAATCTGATACTTCCGCAGATCGTGTTGAACTCGCGGTTGACGTACCTGTTACCGGGAATACTTTGCTCTTCAAGCATAAGCGCCTACTACGCTCTTTTCCATGTTTACCGTTAATAAAAAAAACAAAGTTTATGCCAGAAACCGGAAACTTTAGAAGGTAAATGACCACTGAATCACCACAACACTGTTACTTACTGCTAAATCGACCCACTTGTTTATTTCTACAGCATTTTTTCTTCTACCGCGTACTTGTTTAAAATAAACGCTAAGATTGACCTTATACGTCTCCAACTCTCCCGGCGCTGTTGCTTAAACCTGTTTTTACTAACTTCTCTTACCCCGCTAAACGATTAGAAACTGACAGTTAAGCTGACCACACTCGTCCGCATCATCAACCTTAATCAAGTACTTTAGTTCGTCCCAACGCTCTGCACGCAATAAACTGGATTGGTAAGTATGTAGTGAATTACAATTATTAGCCCGCAAGAAGTGAAAAGAGTAGCATCACGTGACACCACCCATTTGTTTAGTATGGGAACGCGTTATGTAGTTTGTGTAAGGAAGGTGAACTAGTGTAGAAGATAATGGGGAAAAAAAAAAAGTAGCGATGGGTTTTGTAATGCGGTGTAATTTGTGTTGTGGGTGTGTGTGTGTGTATGTAATAGTGTATACGTTGGATCGGGAGTATAAATGGCTGTAGGCTTGAATAACCGAGGAGAGGCGTGTGCGTATACGCAAGTAGCGGGGGGATTATTAAGCTGTTTTAAAGCCACTGAAAGCTATTCAGGAGGAGGCTCCTTTCTCCCTTACGATGGTGTGCGCGAGGAAAATTGCGACAGTAATAAACATTTATTAAAAAATAGTTGTGCAAACCCTTTTTAAACAATACACCGTTTGAATGCAAGTAAAAACGACCAAACAAGTAAAATCAATAAAAACCAGTAAAACAATAAAACCAAAAATAAAGCACATACACAACACTAAAAATAAAAATAAATAAATCACCAATCACTTGTCCACTACTTCGCCCGAATAAATTTTTGTCAATGTCCTCTCACCACCTATATGCATCAACTTCACGACCACTTAGCTGTTTCTGGGAAGCCCATTCCGGGGATCCCTGAGCAGTCTGGCCTTGTAAAGACGCAAATCCTGAATTCCGCCCCCTTTGGTCTGCTTCCTGGCTTCGCCGCATTGCCTTTCAGAGCGCGAAAACACCTGGGCACTGGTTCTTTTTGTTTAATTGATCAGTAAAATCAATTTTAAAATTTTTCAGCTAAATTGAAATAATAAAATCCTTTGTATGATAAAAATACTTAAATCAGCATTAAGTAGAAAATAATAAATAAACCATCTGGATCTTAGAGAACCTAATGGGAACGTGGCGTTAAAACTCTCGCGAAAGCTCAATAAAATAAAAGGAGATATAAAAGTAAAGTGGGACTTCAAAACTTTGATTAAAATAATAAATTCTTCTGTGTGGTAAACAGAAATCCCAAAAGAATAATAAATACTCCTTCAAAAATATAAAAATAAATAAAATTCTCCTTATTATAATATTAGTGTGTGATTGGAGAGAGACTGGTGGTATACAGAACAAGGCATATTGAATATTTATTTTAAAAACCAAATAATCATAAGTACAAAAAACAGCCGGTCCGTGGCAACACCTTCTCTGCGCATCCCCTCCGTCACTACGAGATAAAATCCTTGCGCCCCGAAGCTCCACTATCGAGGGATAGGCTATCGCGAGTTGGTTTGCCCACTAATCTTAGTAAGAGGGGTACATTGCATGCACGGTCCTGGCAACGTGGAAACCGCTGCCAAAAAGTGTAAGCCGCGATGGTTTGCAGGGCAAAAACGGTCGCCCACCGGCGACTCCACCAGTAGAGTGGTGTTTCCACACCCCAAGTTCGCCTTTTTTTCCCCAGTTACGTGGTAATATTTTAGCGCTGTGGGAGAGTTGGATGTGAGCGATGTTGCATAGAGAATACCTCTGGACGTGAGACGACTAAGATGGGACCTAGTCCGTTCACTACAATCTTCCCCACCCCCCCCCCACTCCACATCCCCAGCCATCTCCCCCTCTCCTCCCCTCCATCCCCCCCCCAGCCCTTCCCCTCACCCCCACCCCTCCATCCCCTCCGATCCCTTTTCCCCCCTTTCTTCTCCTTTTCCACCCCCTCTCGCCACCCCTCCATCCTCTATCCCCAATCCCCCCTCCCCACCCCCCAGCCATCACCCCTCTCCCCCACCACCTCCATCCTCCCCCCCCCCCCCCCAGCCATTCCTCCCCCCTCCATCCTCTCCCCCTCCCCAGCCATTCCCCTCTCCCCCCACCCCTCCATCCTCTTCCCCAATCCCCCTCCCCACCCCCAGCCATCCCCCTCTCCCCACGCTCGCTCGGCCATACTCCGCCGGGCTCCGATCTCTCCCGGATGCCATCCTCCCTTCGGCTGAGATATGGCTCGTTGATGCCTTGAAGAGAAGGGATGGGAGCGGCTTTTTTACGTGCTCTGATTTTGCGCGGAGGAATAGTAGGAGGGAAGGGTGGATGGAAAGAGGGAAGGGTGGATGGAAGGAGGGAAGGGTGGATGGAAGGAGGGAAGGGTGGAAGGGTGGAAGGAAGGAGGGAAGGGGGGATGGATGGATGGGAGGGGTGGAAGGAAGGAGGGAAGGGTGGAAGGAAGGAGGGAAGGGTGGAAGGAAGGAGGGAAGGGTGGAAGGGTGGAAGGGAAGGAGGGAAGGGGGGATGGATGGATGGGAGGGGTGGAAGGAAGGAGGGAAGGGTGGAAGGAAGGAGGGAAGGGTGGATGGAAGGAGGGAAGGGTGGATGGAAGGAGGGAAGGGTGGAAGGGTGGAAGGAAGGAGGGAAGGGTGGATGGAAGGAGGGAAGGGTGGAAGGGAAGGAGGGAAGGGTGGATGGAAGGAGGGAAGCGGTGGAAGGAAGGAGGGAAGGGTGGATGGAAGGATGGAAGGGTGGATGGAAGGAGGGAGGGGTGGATGGAAGGAAGGAAGGAGTGGATGGAAGGAGGGAGGGGTGGATGGCAAGGAGGGAAGGCGTGGAATGGAAGGAGGGAAGGGAGGAAGGAAGGAGGGGAAGCGGGTGGATGGAAGGATGGAAAGGGGGATGGAAGGAGGGAGGGGTGGATGGAAGGAGGGAGGGGTGGATGGAAGGAGGAAGGGTGGATGGAAGGAGGGAGGGGTGGAGGAAGGAGGGAGGGGTGGATGGAAGGAGGGAGCGGTGGTATGGAAGGGGGAGGGGTGGAAGGAAGGAGGGAGGGGGGATGGAAGGAGGGAAGGGTGGAAGGAAGGAGGGAGGGGTGGATGGAAGGAGGAGGGGTGGATGGAAGGAGGGAGGGGTCGGATGGAAGGAGGGAGGGGTGGAGGAGGAGGGAGGGGTGGAAGGAAGGAGGGAGGGGTGGATGGAAGGAGGGAAGGTGGATGGAAGGAAGGAGGGAGGGGTGGTTGGCAAGGAGGAAGGGTGGATGTAAGGAGGGAAGGGTGGTTGGAAGGATGTGGGGAAGGGTGGATGGAAGGAGGAGGGGTGGTTGGAATAAGGAGGGAAGGTGGATTGAAGGAGGGGCGGTGTGGAGTTTGGGGGGAAGGGAGAAGGGTGGATGGAAGGAGGAAGGTGGATGGAAGGAGGGAAGGGTGGATGGAAGGAGGGAAGGGTGGAAGGAAGGAGGGAAGGGTGGATGGAAGATGGTAAGGGTGGATGGAAGGAGGGAGGGGTGGATGGAAGGCGGGAGGGGTGGTGAAGCGAGGAATGGTGGAGGATAGGAGGGAGGGGTGGATGGGATAGGAGGGAGGGGTGGAGGGAAAGGTAGGGAGGGTGGATGGAAGGAGGGAGGGGTGGAAGAAGGAACGGGAGGGGTGGATGGAAGGATGGGGAAGGGTGGAAGGAAGGAGGGAGGGGTGGATGGAAGGAGGGAAGGGTGTGGATGAAGGAGGGAGGGGTGGATGGAAGGAGGGAGGTGGATGGAAGGAGGGAGGTGGTGGAAGGAAGGAGGGAGGGGTGGATGGAAGGAGGGAAGGGTGGAAGGAAGGAGGGAAGGTGGAAGGAAGGAGGAAGGGTGGAAGGAAGGAGGGAAGGGTGGATGGAAGGAGGGGAAGGGTGGAAGGAAGGAGGGAAGGGTGGATGGAAGGAGGGAGGGGTGGATGGAAGGAGGGAGGGGTGGATGGAAGGAGGGAAGGGTGGAAGGAAGGAGGGAAGGGTGGATGGAAGGAGGGAGGAGGTGGATGGAAGGAGGGAGGGGTGGATGGAAGGAGGGAAGGGTGGAAGGAAGGAG